ATATATATGTATATATTATTGAAATAACTAGTAGAATTAGAATTTATAAATATAGTATTGATCTTTTTTAAGGTTTGTGAAAATTAGCTACAACTTTTGAAGGAATTTTAATTTTACTTTTTTACATTATTTCTGTCATTACACAACATCAGGTTATTGATATCATCTTTAAAACTTTACCTTGGTACTTGCGCTCAATGCTTTTTGATTTGTATACTTGAAACTTGCTATTTGCATTCAATCATGAAAGAAAGATACAAAAGATGAAACTATGTATGTACATGAAAAGATCTATCGTCCTTAACAAAAGAAAAAAGAACATGCAACTCATGTACATCTTTAATCAAAAACTTATCTGTACAGCTATCGGACAAAGGACTGCTTTTGTACTCTCTCTGAAAATATGATGAAATGTCATCTGTTTAAACCGCGAGAAAACCAAATTCTGAACCATTCTGTGGCCGTTATCTTCCACAGCTTCTCTTGCATTTTTTGCCTGAGGAAGTTAATAATACTAATGCTGACTCTTTCGTTAATGATCCCTTTGACTTTATGCAAGGGTCCATAATATCGATAATAGAGATAATGGCTTTAAGCTCTGTTTGGGCACTATCCTAATGCTCAATCTATAGCTCTAAAGCAATCCAGCACTTCCCCAACTTATCGCGGACAATCACTCTCATGCTGCCTAGATGGGAGGGTAGAAGAGCTCCATCAACATTCATTTTTGTCCACCCAGGATGGTGGGAGGAAACCAGAATGGGTAATGTGGAAGCCGGTATGGCTAACTAGTGTCGCAATGCTTTTATAGAAGAAAAGCAAACATCAAGGTAAGGGATTCGAGAATAGTAGGAGTAATAATTGTGGGAGTATCCAGAGCTTTACGTTGTATACATCATTGGTATCTAGAAGTATATTGGATAATAAGGGGTGACATGAATTATAACTGAGAGTTGAAGTGCCTGTACTAGAGCTGTTTATAAAATGTTGAATTTTCTCTTTTCTTCGTTTACTCTTTCTTAAACATTTCAGGATTACCCTTAAGAGATTGAACCTCAGATATGTATCATCAAATTAGTTTATTTTTCCCTTTGCTATAAGCTTTTCATCTGTTAAGGATGGATCTCGCCATCTACTAATAGTTTCCGTGCAACAAAAAAGTCATTAGGTTGTTTGTGTTGCCTGCTTACCACTCACAATTAGGCCCGATTTTACTTTTCTTCATTTCGTGTTTTTTGTTTTTTTAATTTTTTGGTTTCATTTTTTCTTTCTTTTACTATTATTAAATGACCATAGAATAAATTTGACAAATCGATTATTTTTAGACATTAAGTGCATGTAAAGCTTGTTTTAACTGAACAAGAATTTCAGTAATTGCATGGTACTGTTGTTGAAACTTTCTCATATGCTTATGGCTGCAGGCAGCATACATTATTAATGGTAATTGTAAGAATGTCATGAATATGTCCCAGACAGATCAGTCTGAGCTCTGGCAATCGTTAGCCAAAGGTAATGCCGAAAGAAACCTGAGTATCACATGTACACCTTCCATGCCTTTTTATCATGTTCAATACTTCATCTGCTTTTTTTATAAGGCTAAAATCAATTTTAACAAGCCACGACCCGTGTCAGATTATATGTTGAAGTAGATGCAGGAACATTCTCATATATCAGACCTTTAAAAAGTTTAACTTCCACTATCTTGTAACGTATACACATTTTTGTTCTTGAAATCCAAAATGGAATGGCCTCGAACAATTCTTTTTATCCCCTAAAGAGGAAAGTGAAATTAACGTAGTTACATGGGAATATACTAAAGCAAGTTTTAAGCAAGGGTGGTTAAGTGGAGGATCTGTTCTCTTACTTGAGAAATATTTGTTAGAGCTTAGGACATATTTCTTGATGTTTATCATTTATAATTCTTTCAAGGGTATGCGGTATACTGTTTACCTCAATCAAATTCATGTGTTTTTAGATTTCATGATACCGAAGTTAACCCAATATCTGATAGGAAAACAGAATTCATTTGCATCTGTTTATAGCACATTGGGGTAAGACCTAAAGGATTTTTAGGGGAATACGATGGTTAACTGAATCAAGAATTTGTAATAAACATCTAAAAAAGTACAAGGGATCCTTCAACGATAATAGCTCTCCCCTGAGAATGGGCGACATTTCAGAAAGGTCAACTACATATTTAATTATAAATGACCAATGTGAGTTTATTATTAAAAAGTATATTCCATTTATTATTGGCGCCAATGAAATCTATGGCTGTAGGTTTTCATTACAAAAATCTTTCAGGGAAAAGTTAAAAAAAATGTAATTTAAATTTAACATTATCTTAGTGGTTCTTCTTACACTTTGATATTTCTATAAGAGTAGGGCCAAACATGATATGACTTGCTGAATCACTTAGCATGGGGAAACCTAACAACTAATTTCTAGCGAGTGAGAGGATGAAAAGGCTTGAATAAATTAGTAACCCTACATATATGAGCTGCTTGGGCTGTGAGTTGTATACTTTTTTAGGCCCAAGTTTGGTATCTAGATTGCACAAGTAAATACGGGTATAGAAACCAGTACATGCACATATTTGAATGTTTAGATTCAAGTTTATATTCAATTAAAAAATCATCATGCAATGGTGATTTTCTTGGATCATCTTTAGAAGTAGCTTGTGATTTCTTATATCCAGCATGGGCAATCATATTTGCAAGGGGATTTAGAAATCTAGTGCACGTGGCATCGCTTGAGACCTTGATAATGCTTAAGTAATGACAAGTACTTGTTTAACTTGAGTAGGACGATCAATCATATTCTTAACAACTTCAACTAATAGTGGATTATGGGAGTCTTGAGGGTTTTTAAATTGTTGATAATGTTGCAAAGACTTATCAACAAAACTCCAAAAATTTTGACTAGCTAAAAGAAGATTATGATGATTAGCATTGTAATGGTCTATATGATTTACTATAGAAGATTTTCTCAAAGACTTATCAACAAAACTCCAAAAATTTTGACTCTAAAAGAAGATTATGATGATTAGCATTGTAATGATCTATATGATTTACTATAGAAGATTTTCTTGCTAGATTTTATTGATCTTTCATTGAGAATTAATTTGATAACCAAGTTCATCAAATCTACATAGATTTTTCTTTTTTTGAATGTCTCATCTAAGGATTCTATCATGTCATGTCCCATAGTCATAAAAAATGTAATGATGCTATTGCTATGCATTGTAATGACAAGTCGATATCCTAAATATGCAAAGATGCAACTAAACAGAAGTTCAACTTAAATAAAATATATGAGCAAGTTACTAGGCTCATACTAGAATTAAACCCAAACAAGATTCAAGGTTTTCACTTCTTTGTTATCAATCAAATCCTGCAAGTGAGGGTAAATTAAACCAAAAAATTTCATGTCATGCAGTGTGTGCCAAGAATGATTTAATTTCAGTGTTTATCACTCACCTTTAATATATAAGTAGAATAGTTCACTGAGGCATTATTAAAGCAACAATATGTTTGCAATGTGAAATCATCTCTTTGAGATAATGAGTATTTGAGGCATAGTTTTTAATCATGACGTGAGCTTTGTCAGTCAACATAAATTCAATTCAATATTTCAATGGTTTTACCTTTCAAAGGCAATCATTAAAATACTGCTAGCTAGAGAATCTTTTTGGATGAAGCTCGGGTCTTCTAAATGATGTAGCAGGGAAGGCATATTAGACAGAGTGGGAGAAGGAAAAGCAAGAGAGGAGGGATGGAGAATGAAAGAGACGCGAGAATAGGAAAATGGTAAAAAGATTGCAGTTAGGAGCAATCGGGGAAAACAAAGCAGTCAGGAGGGAGGACATAAAAAGATTAAAATTAAAATTTCTTTAATACATAACTAATCAAACAAAGTAAAATTAATTAATCTTGCCATAAAATTGCTCATATCCTGATTGGATGGTCACTATCAAATTCTATCAGGCTCCCATTGACATGAGGTTTTTAGTCGAACCAAATTCATTTGCATCTGTATAATTTATTTAACTGCTTTCTTGAAAATTAGCATGCTTTTTTTCTAAGTATCTTAAGTAATTCTTTAAATAATCTTTTGGCAACAGGAAACCTGGAGGGTTACACTCGAGTTTCATCCAGACTCAAGCTTGGACCATTTGGAGAGGATTCTGTTGTGAGAATGAGCACAGGTTCTGCACTTTCTTCATAACCTATCATTAAAATGAATCTATTAGATATTCCCGGGCATAACCTGTCTCCCATATTTCCATAAATAATGTAGAGGGAGAAGCTAATGCATTTCCTGTATAGATTATAACATGTGATTTGAATTGTGAAAAAATCATGATAATTCTTTTAATAGCATTTCGCATAACCTGTCTCCCATATTTCCATAAATAATGTAAAGGGAGAAGCTAATGCATTTCCTGCATAGATTATAAAATGTGATTTGAATTGTGAAAAATCATGATAATTCTTTTAATAGCATTTCTTAAACTTTGATGGGCGTAGAGTTCTTGTATTGCTGTTCACTCTTTGTTGTAGATGTAGTTTTACTTAGATATGGTATTATTTGAAATGTGCATTTTGAAATAATAAAGCTAGAAATGTTAGAAAAAAATACAAAAGGAGAACCTAGCCCAAAATATGGGCCCAGTCAAAATCTACAAAAGGAAAAAGAAAACGCGAATTATTAACATTCCTAACAAAAAAAACTATTATGTATAACCACTTGGGCACAAGTACGAGCTACTGTATTCTTCTTTCTATATGTTGGAATAAAACTTGCGTGAACAAAGTTAGAAAGGAAAAGTCTTCCAAGGCTTGAGGTCGATCTATCCAAAATTTGGTTTTCATAGCTTGTTGAAGTTAGAAAGGAAAAGTCTTCGATATGGTATTTGAGTATATACGATATGCTGGATAAAAAAAAATTGAAGTAGATTCCTACGGTATTGAAGGATGAAAATTATGATGCTGATAAATCATTTTCTAACTATTTTATGTTGTACAAGTCTGAATGGCCTCTTTGCACTTCCGAATGACATTCCGATGGAGCATTTTATCCATTTCCCAGTTTGCATCGGATTTCTTTATTTTCCAGAGTTCACGGTGCTTCACTATGATTTTTTATTCCTGTGAAAGTTATTTTAATAACTTTTAAAGTAAAATGAAAGTCTTCAAGTGTTTCTCTTCAGCTATCTGCTGCATTTCTATGCATATGATCAGTTTTCAGGGTTCTACCTACTTGCACTAATTCAGTTTGGTTGTAGAAGGTGAGTTTCTAAGATTTTATTACCCTTTGTCTGCTCAGGCAGAATACCTGTCAGATTATATTTGAGAATCCTTGGAGAGGATGCAGATGATTTAGATGATGTAGCAACTGCTGACAGCTGGGACAGCATCTCCTATGTAAATCAACCTGTTGAAATTCACAATGAAGAAGGTATGTTCAAGAACAATTTAGTGATCGCCAATTTGCTCTTTCTTTTTCAGGATTTCAGGGATTATGTTTGCCACTGTACTATAGCTTTTTCATGCTTTAACACAATTGTGCACAGATAAAGGTAAAATACATCTATTTTTCTTTGTAACTATTTGAAAGCTTTGGGGCCTTTTGCTTGCATGTCTTTAAGATACTCGTATTTTGATTGCCATGTAAATTGTTAATACTGTATTTTAAACTGTTTGTTTAGTTGATTGTAAAATAATGCGACATATATCATTTTTTGGTTTTGGTTGACTATAAGTTGAAATATGGGGCATGAACATACTGACTGAGGGGACAAAGTGGACACAGATGCAGTTGCAGGGTCATAGGGGTGGGCTGCATGTGTGGGAAAACAAGAGTGTGCGAGAGAAAGGATAAGAGTCTTCTCGTTAATGTAAGAACTGAAAATTAAAAATAAATATAATAACAACAATAATAAAATAATAATAATAATAATAATAATAATAATAATTAATATAAATCGAATAGACAGAAAGGATAAGCGTATTCTAAGTTCTTTAACAATAGCGTGTCCATTCGAATCGATCAAAAAAAAAAAAAAAAAAGAGGAACGTGCTAGAGAGGAAGAGTGCGCAAGAGAAAGCAATGACGGAAGAAGAAGAATTGGAAGGAAGTGAAGAAGGAAAAAATCTGTGAGTGAAGAAATTGAGTGAGGAATATATCTATTGCGTTGCTTACGGGTGTCGAAGCTAGAGGAGATGAAGTAGAATCATCTGCGAGGCTCATCTCATATCTTGTGTGTAGCAGGGAGGTGAACTTTCTACGATATAAATGAAGAAGGCGAACCTCCCACGACAGAGAGAAAGGAAGCGAACTTCCTGTCTCTAGAAGATCTATTGTGAAGGGGAAGGGACGAGGGTTTCGAACTCCTCCCATTATCATCGTGCCCTAGCCAAGCAACTTATCTGTGAGAAGAAGAAAGGAAGTCGAGTGGCTCAAGCGTGTGAGACAAGCCTTTCGCCGAGAGGTAATGTGGGCAACTAACAGGTTAGGGTTTATGCTATTATATCATATTAGAGCAAGTAATAACATGTTTGATTAATGTTATGGGTAATACTTTAAATTATTACTTATTATAATAAAAAAATATTGAAGAAATAAATAATTTGATTTGAGTTTCAAGACGAGCAAGATTTATCATAGTGAGGTAAGGGTTCAATTTAAATAAAGATATTAATTATTTAATTATGATTCAATGTGAGAAGAACAAGCACAAGAAAAGAGACCGAATCAAGTCAAATTGTAAGGAGGTTGGAGTTTTGTGAGGGAAGGAAACCAAGCCTTTTAAGGTAAGAGTTTATTCATTAAATAATATACAGTTTTAAGGTGCGTGCATGCGTGCTTATTTACTAAGTCTTAATAGTAGGTTTATTTGAAAATAGAAGGTGTGCTTATTTACTAAGTTTTAATAGTAGGTTTATTTGAAAATAGAAGGTAATTGAAGAAAGAAAATTTAGTTTGAGTTCCAGGAGTGAATCATTTTGAAGAAAAAGAAAAGGTATATGTTAATTAATGTCAAAATTTGATTTATTTTAAATTTATAATTAATAAAAATTTTATTTTATAACAAAATCATGATTAAAGAATATTTGAACCTATGATTAGAGATACACAATCTCTAAGACGAGCAAGTTAGGTTAAGGTGAGTAATCATATTTGTAAATTTCAATAATCTTTTTTATTTTAAAATATATGTTTGACTCCATATTTGTTCTAGTTTAATTAGATTCTTCATATTGCTTTAGACATGATAGATATGCATGCGAGATATGTATGAGATGCATGATATGTATGATATACATGATGTGCAAGATAGACAATAGGAAATACACATGATAAACACAATATAAAATGATATGAATGATATAAGTAAAAAAATATGCATGAGATAAAAATATGAATGATATGAGAGATGCATGATGATAGTTGCACAACAGAGAAACAATTATACATGTTAGTAGATACATTATTATGTATCAGAATAATGTATATTATAATAATAAAATAACTTATAGATGAATGCTTATATGTGAACGCTTAGAGGAGAAGTTCACCGTTTAATGGTATAGACAGGGGACACCAGTATATCAGCACACGTCGAGTTTTTCTATCATCTCAGATTATTGTGATAGTTAGTATAATAACCACTGTGCTGATGGGATAATATCGACCAGGGGCGAGTAAACAGAAATTATCACCCCAGATAATTGTGATGTATATATCGCTAACAGCTGTGCCAACTGGTTAATATTAGTCAGGGGCAGTTAATGGTCTTTTCACCTTTGACAATTGCGATGTTTAAATCACTAACCGTTGTGCTGACGGGAGCCGACGTGACAATATCAGTCAAGGGTGTGTTAGATTGTTTTGATGATGATCCTCGAAGCAGACAAATACAAAGAATATAAAACTAAAGTAAAATTAAAGTAAATTCATGTAGAAGATTTGTATATTTTTATTTAGAAAAGATCATTGATACATGCATTTGTATATTTATAATTTTTTATCAAAAATATGAAAGATCAACATATTATAAGATTTCCTATAAATATGTGAAAGACTATCATGCATATTGTTTTCTTTTTCTTGAGTTATTGTAGTTTAGAAGTTTGATTGCTTCAAGCTGGTCTTTAGATAACTCTTTATGTTGCTTTAATATATTTTTTTTCAGGTTTAAGTTTTTGATTAAGATATATAAAAGAGAATTAAATGTGTACAAAAGGTTAGAACAACAATAAGAAATTTTCTGATTTATAAATTTCTAATTGTTAATTAAATTTGCTTTTTTGTTGTTCATTCATAAATATTTGAATATTTAATTTTTAGTGATAAAAATAGGAAAGTAGAAAATTTTTTTTTCCACCATCAGATCGTTTTTCAAGCACCGGGCTGGGTCGTGATAAAAGTGATATCCATGTAGATGTTTAGATTAATTAACTTGAATCTAATGAAAGAGCCATTATGATTATTGAATTATATTATAAATAATAGAAATTAAAATTTAAATGAGTCTAATTAATTTATTTTATTGTAATTTTAGAATTATGGATGATTCAAAAGTAGAGGTCAGAGATGATGATGATTTTGAATTTAATATACCCCAGAATATTACGGTAAATGTTGCTGTCTTTGTTGAGATGCCGATTGCAGTGACGCAGATGATTATAACCTCTCAGCCTCAGGCCAATAGCAATGGAGGAGTACTAAAAACTGGCCTTAAAGGTGAAGAAAATCATTGATGTTATGACACCAGAGAGGAGACTTACCGTCGCCACATTTGCTTTTGAGGGGGAAGCGGTGAGATGGTTGCCAAGACAATTGCAGGAGATGTTTGGAGGTGG